TAGTACATGTTAACTGTGCAATTTGACCAGGTACATTTAAAGTTAGGTTCTATGTACTCCAGACTATAGGTTAACAACCTGCCTTTATCGAACAGGAACATATAATTTGTTGGACATTGTTCTAGAATAGAGAAGAAAGATGAAAAGTCATGTCCTTTCCCATCAAGGATTTCACCACACAAAGGTGATAGGTACTGACACTGCGTTTATTGCATGGTGGCTGAGAGTCAAACATTTTCAAATCCTGACTGTTGCTTCCTAGCTGTGATCTTGACCAACACTTTCATATCCTTGAGTCCCAGTTTCCTCATTTATGAAACAAGGAAGAGAGTACCTAACTTGTAGGGTTAAATGATGTAATGTATGTAAAGTACCTGGTGCAGAGCAAGTCGGTAGCTACTGGCTACTTGTCTTAGTCCATTTTGTGCTGCTATAAAAGAATATCATAGACTGGGTAATTTATAAAGAACAGAAATTTTGTTGGCTCACAGTTCTGGAGGCTGAGAAATCCCAGACTGAGGGCTGCATCTGGTGAAGGCCTTCTTGGTGTATCATAGCATGGCAGAAGGCATCACATGGTGAGAGAGCAAGAGACTGAATTTCCAGCCTCCAATCCTCTTATAATTGTCATTAATCCATTCACAAGGGGGTGAAGCCCTCGTGACTTAAACACCTCTCATTAGCCACCCCGCCCCCAGCACTGTTGTGTTGGGGATTAAGTTCCCAACACATGCTTTTGGGGGACACATTCAAACCTTAGCACACAGTAATAGAGGAATATGCCAGGCATCATGAGCGAACCCTAAACCAGCTTGGGGAAGAGGTGAAACCCTGTTCCCAAAAGAAGCAATGCCAGATTTGGGACTTGGATGTTAAGTTAGGGATTGAATTGAGGGTTGTTCATTCCAGGCACAGGGAACATGTACAAAGTGTATGTTTGTTTCATGATAATTTTGTTTATGACTATATGGATAATATATGTAATTTTAATAACAAAGAATCCTTTTTAAATTGACCTAGGACTGTAAATTTGTACTCTAAATAGTAACTCATTGCTTCAAGTGTGTGTTTCTTATTACATCTCAGAAATGTAAGAGCTTAAATGGCATCTGAGGAATTTGAGGTTAAAAAATTACATAGACCAAGCAGCCTTCTTAATGCTAAATTTAATGTGTATGTGTTTGTGTTCATTGTTAGGGATTTGACTTTATTCTGCCTCCTAACAGGGCCTGGTATTAAAGCAAATTACCCCATTTGATTTTCTTAATTTTGATTAATTTGACATAATTTTTCTGCCTTTTCCCTTTTTATGGTCAAATGACCTATGAAAATTAGTGTTAAAATAATTCATAAGATATCATTTTTGATAATATGGTCTCATCAAAATCCCAGAATTCTAGCCAGGTATCTGCTGGGTTACATATTTTAAGATGGAATGTTGGCTTTTATTTTGAGATGATTTTACAAATAAAGATTAACCCCCCCCCTAAAACCTTTACTTGTTTTGGCTTTTTGTCTTGTGTAGCTCAAAACTTTAAAGGGCAGAACTAGATAGATACCCAGAAAACCACAGCCACATAGCAGCTGTAATGTACCAACAGTTGAAAAGAAATTTAGCTCTTACTGTGTAGAGTTAGCAATTTATATTATTTTTCCTATGCTGACTTATAGCCAGCAAAAGCATCCACTTCCCTGATCATCTCTTAGAGATGGGAGCCGTTTCTTAAGTGCCTCCAACCATGAGCTGGTCTGTCAGTGAGAGATTATTGCCAACCCTGGTCTGCTAATAGGAGGATTTCAGATAGCCAGTGGATTCTAATTTAGAACAGCTCAATCTTGTCTTTGTTGCAAGATGTATTACCCTGAGATGCCACATCTGTCCAGACAAGAAAGCACATTGTTCTTAGTTTACCATCCCTTTAAAGGAAAATGGAGAAACTTTCCTTTAAAGGAAAGCCAGAGAATGTATTAAATCCTGCTTACTGCCTACCTACTCGTTACTGACATCCATATGTTTTTTGTGTTGTCACTGTGTTTCTCTGTGTCGTCATTAGTCTTTCCCTGAAGTAAAACATTCATGGCACTTGTCATTTATGATGCCAGGATATAGTGTTAGACTACCTTTGCGAGTGAACACGAGATCTTGGTCTCAGAGCCATTGTTCCATGGATAAGGTTGGCTTATCCAATCAAGTGCATCCTAGAGAATCCCTAACTCTCAGAGGATTTAACATCCTGGAGAGAACTGTTAGTGCCTTTCTGCAGTGAAAATAGTTACCGTGGTTACTGTGTAAGGTACCTTCTTTTTTTCTGCTTTGAACTAGGCAGTGAACTGCCTAAAAATGGTCACTTTCCTGTAGTGCCTTTGAGCAGAAATAATTCTCTTAGATTTAGGCCTCAGCAATTTTTCATGCCTATTTGATGTGTTTCGAGCCCACGACTGGATAAAGCCACACAGGAGCCATGTACTTTGAGTCCCCATAGGCTTCTGGCCACTGGCCATGTGACAGCCTGGAGAAGGGCCAGTTTTTTCCTTTGCTGATAGCTACTAGATAAGTGGTTGAGGATCTGAGAGAGCAGTCCGTACAAAAGAGACTTAAAAAAAACCCCGCCACATGCTTGTGGGTCTCCTGGCTGTGATGCTGTAACCATCCATGGTGATGTAATCGGAACAAAAGAGATCAAGTATGACCTCGGGGTAACAATACATATTGTTGGGGAGAGGATGGTTTTAATGTACGTTTTGTTCCAGATTGTCAACTGCAGTAGCCTGGTTATCTTTGACCGTATTTTCCCATACAGCATACTACGAACATAGTTTGAATAAGATTTGCCACAGGCAATTAAAACTGTTCAAAAAATTCTTACAAGTTAGTTAGTTCTTCCTTGATTCTTTGGATAATGTGGCTAACGTGGCAAACTTGGTTTCATCAGGGCTGTGAATTTTGATTCTATTTCCTCCTTTCATCAAACTCTGCCTTTAACATTGCCTACTTTGTAAAATAGGCAGTCCACACTAATAATTTCACATGGTTAACCTGAGCCACTTTGGTAAGTACAACTCTGACTTTCACTTAACCAAGTGAACTTGACATCTTATAGTTTTAGGCCTTCCAACTATTATTTTTTTCTGTTAACAACCAGTCTGGCAACAGAGCTTTCATTGGCATTCTTCCCATCTGCATATGACGAAGCCACATAGTTAATATTTTTTAAAAAGTCATGGCCTCTGGTTTCAAAGACTTATTACCTACTTAGCTCTTGAATGATAAAAATGTGATATAGACCGAATGGGCCAAGAACACACAGGTAGCATGGCACAGTGGGTAGCCTCTGGAGCCGGTAAGATTGGAATTTACATCCTGGTCCCTCAACTCAGTGGCAGTATCTTACCTGTCCTGGAGCCTCAGGTTCTCCTCCTGTGAAGTGGGCAGGGGAGGTTACAGGGAGGATTGGCTGAGTTTCCTTCCCACTGCTTTCCTTTGCAGGGTTTAGTAAAGGACCCTGAGGACTAGGGAAGTCAGCCCAGGGCTTCCTGAAGGGGCAGTCTTCAACTACAGCAGGCTAGGTGGAGTGGAAAAGAAAGAGGGACCCTGTGGGGCAAAGGCATGGAGACAAGACCATAGAGAGCCTTGAAAGCATACGCAGGAAGGCAATTCAATGAAAAGTGATGCATTAAAAAAATGTGTGTTAGAAGGGAGAGAGTCTGGAATCTGAAAGACGGGAAAGAAGATTCTTAAAACTAGACATGAGATGAGAGTACGAGTGAGGATAGGTGATCAGTCAGCGGTGGAGAAAGGACAGGTACAAGGAGCATTTCTAAGGAAAAACCAGCAGGATTTGGTGTGTGACACTATAGGATAAAAGACACTGCCAGGATTTAAGCTGGGTGATTACTGTGTCATTCATTCATTCATTCTTAAAATACTTAAATCCAAAACCTGCTGCTGCAATGTTCTGTTCTAGGTATTGGGGATTAACCACTAAGTAAAACAAGTCCCTGCTCTTTTGAAACTTACCAGTGTTAATTATGTTACAAATTTAGTGGCAGCAATTTTGGGATCTTGAGATGTCATCATCTAGCTCATGATTCTTTTACCTCAGGATCTAAAATTCAAATGGGAAATGTTGATGAAAGCACATCCAGTATCTTCATGAACTCAACATACACTATTTCCATGTTTCAGAACTGTAAAGATAAGAATAAAACTGTTAAACTGAAAATGCTGTATTTCACAGATCAAAGGAAGTTGTACTACTCTAGATTTAGTAATTTGCCTCATCCTTAATAAATTTCAGGGAACGTCATAAAGTTTGGAACACTTAGGGAATTGTTGAGTTGTGAAAGGTTTCTTTTGTAGACATTAGTTGGATTAAAGTTAGGTTCATTTAACAACTAGGAGGAAGTAATTAGATTGAAAAAGACTTTAATACTTGATGGCTTTTTTTCAAGTGATTTTTTGTTAGCTCATTTCTGAAGCAGTGCTATGATATTTTAGAGTTCAATCTGAGTTTTCTTCAATCTTTTGAGGCAAAAAAATTTGTTAGTATACTAGATAATTCCTTGATGAAACATGTTGACGTAACAAATAAAGGAGTTTGAAAGCTAAAATGTAATTTTCCACATTATTTTGAAAACTTGAATTAGAAGAACATTATCTAATTAAAATTATGATGCATTTAAGTATTCATTTAGTTTGGAAAACTTTCCTCCTTTTCATTTAATTGACGTAGTTGTATTTCATAGTGTTTTTATGGTAACCACAACTAATTAGCTGTAACAATAGAGTATAAAGGTTATTTATAATTCTTAAGGAAAGAAAGGGATTTGGACCTAGTAAGACTGATATGTTTTCGTGCACTAAAGGAATGTTAAAATTTCTTAAATCATTAAATCTCTGAGCTGCTTTAAATATATTACCTTTCGGGATCTGAATTTCTCAGTTTAAGAATTAGATTTTTTTCTTAAGGATGATTTGGTATTTTTTCAATTTCCTCCAGGTAAAAGTGCAATTTTAAAGTGTCTCCTGGATATTCACAAAATTTTTCAGGAAAATGACCCAGCATACATTCTAAATGATCTCTACATCTCAGACTACTGTGTGTGGATTCAGAAAGCCAAGTAAGTTTTAGGTTACTTATGAATTTTTAGATGCTCACATTTCTGAAATGCCTACTCACCCAGGAGGAAGAAAATGAAATAACTCGGGGAAAAAGTTTTAAGAGGAAAATCCATGTAGCTACCAAACACTTAAAAGATAACTTGATTAACAGGGGGGGCTTGGTGAATTTGCTTAGGGAAAGAGGTACAGATGGTGAAAAGTTAATTTTATTTGAAAAAATGGGCATTGGGACAGCCCGGAAAATAGGTATTAAAACAGTTGTATTTATTGCCTTACTATTGACTGTCCAATATGAAATCTCAAGACTGAGTATCTGAACTTGTATCTATAGCTTACTTACAGAGCCGTGTGAGTGTGTACGTATGTATGTGCATTCTTGTTTGCATGTGTAGACATTATAAGATGCAAACCTAATCAACTCTAATCCAAACGAGAGCTGTGCATTCATTGGCTAACCACTGGCTTACAGAGTTCATATATGAAAAATACAGCCTTCAGAGCCTAATAGCATGATTCTTGATAACACATGTATTGAAGAGTCTGAACACTCACAAATGGGCTCTAGCACCTTGGTATGTAAAATTTTTAAAAAGTGTTTACCATTGCCTCAGTCAAAGAAACATAGTAGATTAACTATTAAATTTGAAAATACAGTGGATTTATATTTGGTGAAGGAGTTCTTTAGATCTGATTCTTATTAGACATGGCCAAATTATCCATTTCAGTAGTAAGAGGCTATTAATTAAGAACATATAAAGAGAGCTCTTGATTAGAATGATTCCTAGGTGCTGTAGAAAATGATTACACAATATCAATCATGACTTAGAAGAAAAATAATTATGATATTTTTACTGTTACTGTGATTGGTAAGTAAAGGCTTTAGTATGGATTTTAATGCCTGTTTTGAATGGGCCGTATATAGAATTTGTTTTTTATTTCTGTTGATGGGGAAGCAATTATATTGCAGAATACAATATGAAAACAACTTGAGCCTATACCTGTTGTATGGAAAATGCTTAGGGATTGCTCAAGATAATGCCTAATAACATACAGCAGGTGGTGTCAGCATTTGTGTTGGAAATGTAGATTTCGCCAGATGGAAAATTGAATCTTTAACCCCGAGGTCATAATGGCATGTCATCACTTCATTTGATCCTCCTGCTAATTGAGCTTATCAAATACCCTGCTGCCATTTCCTGTTGTTACTTTCATTTTCATAATAAAATTAAATTGAAATAGTCTATCTGTGTGAGTTTTGGTTTTTCTTTTCTTTTTTTTCTTTATGGTGAGGATTTTATGAACATGTAATGAGT